TGCGATACTTCGATATTTGTACAATATATATATACGTAAATGGAAATCACCTGATTTTGATATCTAGCCGGCTAAGCTGGCTTAGCCGATTTTTATAAAATCGGCTTAGTCAGTCGATCATTTTGACTCAACTAATATCCCTAGTAGAGGATATCTTAAATCTTTTTGGTCTAAGTTTAAAATCTTCAGCGAATTTGATATAGTTAATTGCTTGATAATTATCTAATAAATATAAATGAAGACGAGCTAAATTGATACAGAATTGTAATCTATTTTGGCTTTTGTAAGGAGGTATTGTTGCTGAGGAAGCAAAGATTTTTGGATAGTTCAGTTTGGTGAAAAGAACTGTTGTAAAAGTAAGAATAAGTTTTTTAAAAGTTTCTTCAATGATATCGAATGGAATTGTTAGAGCTTTGTTAGTATTAGGGTTTTGTTGTTAGATAAATTCTGTAAGAAATTGTGATCATTCTCCAGCTATTTTATGGATAATATAGTGAAAGCTAGCTTTAATGGCTTTTCAATTAGGAGTTGTAGCACAAATTTCTTTGCCTAAATAGAAGTCAAATAGGTGCTTTTTGAGATGATTAAATATTCTTCTAGCAATTTCTGTTTGTAGTTGTGTATATTTTTCCATTTCTTCAGAAACTAGAAAGTTGGCAAGCCAGTCAAAAGATGGGTTAATTCTTGTTGATGTATTGGTAGAGGTATTGGTATTATGTTGATTAGAGTTAGAATAAGTGTTGGTATTTTGTTGAGTTTCTTTAGTTTTTCCAAATTGTTATTCTGGTTGTTGTAAGTAGGGTTGTTGTTCTTGTGTATTGGAGGTATGGGTATGTTGTTGTTGTTGTATAGTATTTGTATTATCTTGTTTATTATTGTATGGGTTGTTATTATGTTGTTGTTTAGTAGTAGTAGTTTGGTCTTGTTTATTAGTATTATTGGTATTATCGTCATCAATATTCATATTATTATCGTTGGTTGTTTTGGTGATGGATATTAAAGGTCTGAGCTGAGTAGTTAGGGGGTTATAGGGCTGGTTGACTGCAAGTGACTGTCTAAGTTGTAAAATAAATTGTGAAGTATTTTTGAAGGAGCTTTGCTGTGGGTCGAGTATAGTATTTGTGTAAGATTTGTGATAGATTTTATCATTATCTGAGATTATTGCATCTTGTGCCAAGTAATGTTGGTTATTAATAACTTTACAATTAATTGATTGATTGCATCTTATACAAGTATGGTGATGCATAACAGGTGTTGGTGTAGATGCAGATGATTGGGGATGAATAGAATAGAATCTGCGATAAAAGTTGCTAAAGACTTTTGATCATTAGGTTTTTTGATTGTTTTGGTGTTCTTGTTTTTTTGGTAGATAAGATTTTGGGTAAATACAAAACATGTGTGGTACTTGCCACATAGGCATGTTACAGTAGCACTTGTTACTAGTGCTTCAAAGTAATGACTGCTTTTGACAGTTCCTCTAAGTTCGGTAGTAATGCAGCTATTAGATTTCTTATAATTGGAGATAGGATGTGATAAGTTAAGTGTTTCCTCGAATATTCTGATTTCATAGCTTTTGGAGTGATTTGCGTAAAAGTAGTTGAGATCATAATCGTCCGGTTGTACATTTGCTAAGATAGGCATTTTGTAAATATGTTATTTTAAGGACTCGGTTAATTTATTCTTAGTAAAATTTGAAGATATAAGTCTATAATATAGTAAAGTATTATTACAAGGGTATGTATATTTACGTGAGTATTTTTATAGCTACTGTGGCTTGTGTAACCTTGTGTAACCTAAGAAGTCTAAGATTGCACAAGTCACTTATTATACAAGTTATGTGTTATACAGATCATGTGTTATAAAAGTTGCACAATTGGGTAAAATTTAGATAATGTTGCTAAGTTAATTATAGAATAAACAATAAATGCAGTAATTAATTTGTGTAGATTAATTGTAGAATGGGTTGCCCAAAAAGGATTGATTATATATCTAGTATGGTCAGGTATAAACAAATCAGAAATATAAGTCCAAATGTTACACAAAAACGATTTTGATGAAGAAGGAACTTTTTAAGAATTAAAGAATAGAAAAAAGGAAGTTTTGATATTTTTAATCTTAGAAGGATCAATTTTAAGTCAAATTGATATACTATAGCTTGTTTTGAAGCCAGAGATGAGCTCTACAAATTCAATTATGAGGTATTAATATGTTATTAAGCCCAGTTTGCTGAGAAGTGCAAAACTTTGGGGAGAAGACAGAGTTGTCTGCCTGTCTTTGTAAATTGAATATCTTAGAAACAGTAGAAGATAAAGGCTTGAAACTTTATAAATATATATGAAAACAGTAGCTGAACAACTGTTATTAAGAGTCAAAAGGTTGTTAACTTAATAAAATTTTGTGTAAATTGAGAAAAAGTAAAAAATATTTTGGATAAAATTTTGTGTGCAAGTGATAAGCAGAAAGAGTTTTTTTTTGCTTTACAACTTTTGTTACAAGCCCAAGAGTGATTTACTTAATAAAAAAAAAAGTTTTAGATAGAGGCGCTCCAAATTTAGGCTTATAGTAAAATTTATATATAAAAAAAAAAATTTTTGTTCTGTTAACTGAAGAATCATTAATTAATATTAATATAATTAAAAAATTTTAATAATATATTAAAATATTGGTCAAATTGGTCAAATTGGTCTATTTATCAACTCTGTATATATTGCCGATAGCTAATCTAATAAATGATAAAATCGAAAGCTCAAAGTCTTTTTTTTTTTGGCAACGCCTATATATATAATTTTTTTCTTCAGCAATGCTTATATATGTATATATAATTTTTTTAAAAAAGAATTTTTTATTAATTGACTTATAGTTAAAAAATATTTTATGGTCAGCGGAAAAAGTATCTACTATAAAAAAAAAAATATACAAGATATAGGTGAACAAATGCTCCAGGGTTAGTAGATCATCACACCACTTTACCCTTAAATATACCAAATTGATGCTATCCAGATCATATCTTAACTACGATGCCCCATGTCCAATAGTGATAGCAATATCTTTAATCCAGATAATCCAGATAAGTTTACTAACCCAGATGACCACACTAACCCAGATAACCCCACTAAACCAGATAATCTCTCTAAACTGAATAACTTCACTAACTCGGATCACTGGTCGAAAAGGTGAAATTCGACCCCAAATTAGCCAGAAATTGGCCAAAATTCGCCCACAAATTGGTAGTTGATTGGCAAATTTTGGTCGAACTCAGGTCGATTCGGCCAAAATGATCGATCTAGATTCGATCCAAAAAACACCAGGTAAAAAAAAAAAGGTAGCCGATTGTTTAAATCAATAGCCGATTATAGGCTGATTGTTTATATAGATAGCCGATTATAGGTCAAATGCTAAATTTTAACATTTGATCTAAAATTGGCTACCAAATTTTGGCTGAATATTTATAACAATCAGCCAAAATTTGGAAGCCGATTTTAGGTCAAATGTTAAAAATTTAGCATTCGACCTATAATCGGCTACCTGTATAAACAATCAGCCTATAATCGGTTATCGATTTAAATAATCGGCTATCTTTTTTTTTTTACCTGGTGTTTTTTGGGTCGAATCTAGGTCAATCATTTTAGCCGAATCGACCTGAGTTCAACCAAAATTTGCCAATCGACTACCAATTTGTGGGCGAATTTTGGCTAATTTCTGGCCGATTTGAGGTCGAATTTTATCTTTTTGACCAGTGGATGCCACTGCTAACTCAGATGCCACTGCTAACCTAGATACTACTGCTAACCTGGATGCCATTGCTAACCTGGATGCTACTGCTAACCTGGATGCTACTGCTAACCAGGATGCCACTGCTAACTAGGATGGATGCCTCTGCTAACCAGGATGCCTTTGCTAACCAAGATGATCTTGCTAACTAGGATGCTCCTGCTAATCAGGATGCCCCTACTAACTAGTATGACCTGCTAACCAGAATGCTTCTGCTAATCAGGATGACCCTGCTAACTAGGATGACCCCGCTAACCAGGATGTTTTTGCTAACCAGGATGACCCTGCTAACCAGGATGCCTCTGCTAACCAGAATGCTCCTGATAATCATAATGCCTCTGCTAACCAAAATTTCTCTGATAATAACAATTCGGATGACCCAATAGTGATAATCTGGATGATCCCAATAGTGATAATTCAGAGGATACCTCTGATGACAACTATGAAGCTATTGCTAGACCCAGTAAACCCTAGTATAGTATATACAATATATGTTCACAATCAAAAAACTTTTTAGACAGTACAGGTAAAGATAGTAATACTGTTTGTTTAATTATAACTAAATAAAACTAATCCTAGTTTTTGAATTTGACAAAAAGCATATCAACTGGCTGCCTTTAATAAATTTAGTAATATTAAAAGTATGTTAAAAAAGGTTGTTGATGAAAAAGGTAAATCAAAAGAGGTTGCTGATAAAAAAGGTAAATCAAAAGAGGTTGTTGATAAAAAAGGTAAATCAAAAGAGATTGTTAATAAAAAAGGTAAATCAAAAGAGGCATTATGATTATCAGGAGCATTCT